AGCCAATCGCTTTTGAGATATAAAAGAGAGACGCGAGCAGAGACACATGGGAACCTTGTACCACCAAGAAAGCAGTACTGGGAGCAGAGTGAGTCCTTTGGACCTGAGGTTCCTGCGCTGAGATGCTCCCAGACCAAAGGAAGATTGACGCATCACAAGGACCTTCCTCCAGAGGTGACAGAGAAAGAAAGTCTTCTCCTGGAGCTCATGCCCTGAATTTGGACTTGTAGCCTACTGGACTGTGAGAGAATAAACTTCTCTTTGTTAAAGCCGTCCACTTGTGGTATTTCTGTTATAGCAGTACTAGATGACTAAGACAGTGTCATTTTTGTTGGGGTGAGATTGTATCTCATGTAGTTTTGATTTGCATCTCTCTGATGGCTAATGATCGCCAGCATTTCTAATGTGTTTATTTTCTGCCTGAATGTCTTCTTTGGTTAAGTGCCTATTCATATATTTTGCCCATTTTTTAATTGGATTGTTTGTCTTTTTGTTGTTGAGGTGAAGTTTTCTATAAATTTTAGCGCACTTGTCAGATATGCCATAGCCACAATTTTTTCCCCAGTCTGTAAGTTCTCTTTTGGGGAAGTCTTTTTATGTAAAATTGTGTTTTAGGTGAAAGTTTATAGCTCAAGATAATTTCTCATACAAAAATTTACACACATATTGTTATGTGACATTAGTTGCAATCCTTATTTCCGCCCTGGATTTCTTGTGTCCATTCAACCACTTTCTGCCTTCTCATCCTGCCTCTGGACAGGAGCTGCCCATTTAGTCTCCTGTATCTGCTTGAACTAAGAAGCACACTCTGTACAAGTATTATTTTATGTTTTATAGTCCAGTCTAATCTTTGTCTGGAGAGAGGGCTTCAGGAATGTTGTTAGTTCTGGGTTAACAGAGCATCCAGGGAACATGGCTTCGGTGGTTCCTCCAGTCTCAGTCAGACCATTAACTCTGGTCTTTTTATGTGAATTTGAGTTCTGCTCGACACTTTTCTCCCACTCTGTCACTGGGGAAGTCTTTTGATGAGCGTGTTTATTTTATAAGACTTAGTCCTCAAAGTGACATCTTTGCTTTTTAACACTTTAAAGAGGTCTTTTGCAGCAGATTTGCCGAATGCAATATGTCGTTTGATTTCTTGACTGCTGCTTCCATGGACATTGATTGTGGACCCAAGTAAAATGAAATCCTTGATAATTTCAATGTTCAAAATGGGCAAATATAGCTATTAATAGTGTTTTGCACTTGGAGAAAATGAAAATTACACTATACATAAAACATATCTCATATGTATTAACAAACAAATCAACTATAAGAACAAACAAAATCAACTATGAAAGTGTTAGAAGAAATTTAGGAGAATGGTTTTACAAACTTAGAATTGGAAGGACCTTCTAAAGATACAACTCAAAAACTGTGAAGGAAAAGATTACTAAATTTGATTATATGAAAATTTAAAACTACAGTATAATAAAACATACTATAAATAATACACAACAAACAGGGAGAAAAATACTTGTAACATATATAACAAAAAGTTAATATCAGGATATATCCGTAAACAACAACAAATCAATAAGAAAACAATCCAGTATTAAAACGAGCAAAGGATATGAACAGGAAACTCAGAAAAGAGCATGTATAATTGACCATTGAACATATGCAAAAATGCTCAATCTCAGTAATAATCATGGATGGGCATATTAAAATAACTATGATATACCACTTTTTAACACATCCTTAAAAACCCGTTGCTGTCAAGTCAATTCCGACTCATAAGGACCCTGTAGGACCGAGTAAAACTACCCCACAAGTTTTCCAAGGCTGTAATCTTTATGGGAGCAGACTGCCACATCTTTCTCCTGCACAGCGGCTGATGGGTTCGAACCGCTGACCTTTCAGCTGGTAGTCGAGTGCTTAACCACTGTGACACCAGGCTCCTCTTTTAACACGTCAGATTAAGAAACATTTTTTTTTTTTTAATTCATACTATCCAGTGATAGTAAAGGTGAGTATGTTGGTTAGCTTTTCCTGTGTAATAAACCACCAGAAAACTTAGTGGCTTACATTGTGAAAATGTCAATACTACCATTGTATAAGCCAATCAATTATTTGGCTGAAGGTGTCCTCCGGGAGTGGCTTCAGTTTCAAGTTCAAAGGGTTATCTCTCTTAGGGCGATAGTCTTGAGGGTTCCTCTAGTCTCTATCGGTCCAGTAGCGTTGCCTTTTTTAGGAATTTGAGTTTTGTTCTATATTTTTCTCCCATTTTATCCGGGACCTTTTATTGTGTCCCTGGTCAGAATGGTCGGTAGTGGTAGCTGGGTACTACCTATTTCTTCTGTTCTCAGGATAGATGAAGCCATGGTTCATGTGGGCTAGCCCTGCGGACTAGTTTCTTCTTTGAGTCTTTGGTTTCCTTCATTCTCTTTTGCTCCAGACAAGCAGATGCCAATAGTTGTACCTTAGATGGCCACTTGCAAGCTTTTAAGACCCCAGACACTACTCACCAAACTAAGATGCTGAACATTACCTTTATGAACTATGTTATGGCAACTGAGTCATTCCACAAGACTATAGTCCTAAGCCTTTTAACTCAGTAAACCAATTCTGTGAGGTGTTTGGATACGTATAGGAAGTCTCCATAACTGTGCCACCTATGTGCTTTATTATCGATATGAATATACATGCAGCACACACAAACATGTATATACATATGCCTACAGATACGCCTATACATGCATGCACCTGTATTCACATATGCCTTCCTATGAGTCGGAACCGACTTGATGGCACCTAACAACAACACAACATACACATATATACACACATATCTATCTATGTAACCATGCAAATATTTTTTGGTTGTTAATATTGTTGTTGTGAAATTGTATATGCTATAGCATTTACCAAAATTGTCCCTTATTCTTGTATATTTCTTAGGGTCTTCATTTACCTTGGTCAAGTTGTCCAGTCTTCACTCATATTGACTATTGCCTTTCCATCACCAAAAATAACACGCATCTACCATCTAGAAAGTGATTTCCCCTTCCTCCTCCTCCCATCCCTGCTAACTATGAAAGGACACTGCTTTCTGTGTGTATACCTATTCTTGACTTTTTATAAAAGTGAGACCACACAATATTTTTCTTTTATTTTAACTTATTTCACTCAGCATAATGTCCTCCAGATTCATCCATGTTATAAAATGTGTCATGGACTCATCATTATTCTTTATAGTTGCATAGTATTCCATTGTATGTATGTCCCACAGTTTGTTTATCCATTCATCTGCTGATCGGCACTTAGGTTGTTTCTATCTTTTTGCTATCGTGAATAATGTTGCAATTAACGTAGATGTGCTTATGTCTGTGCCACTGCTCTTATATCTCTAGGATATAAACCTAGGAGTGAGATTGCTGGATCAGAAGGCCATTAGCATTTTAAATACAATCTGTTTTGACCCCACCAATCATTCCTCCAGAACCATTTACTCTTTCATCTTTCCAGAAGTGAGCACTAAATACTGGTAAAAAGAACTAGTTCCAAACTCAGCACTAACTAAAGACAGAACATTTTCTGTGGTATTCTGTAACACTGGTTGTCCTAATGATCCATGTCATCTGGTATTGACACCCTGGCACAGTCTCCTCTCCTTTAACCTGAGCTAGCCCTGTGACCAGCAGAATATGGTGGAAGTGATGCTGTGCCAGCTCTGTGCCTCAGCCTTAAGAAAGCCTAGCAGCTTCCACATTCACCCTTTCGGGAGTGCTGAACCACCATGTAAGAAGTCTGGCTACTTGGAGAGACCATGCGGAAAGGCCACATGGAGAGGGAGAGGACCGAGACAGGGAGAGAGAGGCCCAGCTGTTCCAGGGGAACTCAGCCCCCACCGACCCACCTGCTAAAAGCAGCCACACAAATGACCACCAGCAAGGCTAGTAGAGGATCCCTGGTGGCGCAGTGGTTAAGTGATACAGCTGTTAACCAAAGGGCGGCAGTTCGAATCCACCAGCTACTCCCTGGAAAGCCTGTGGGGCAGTTCTACCCTGTCCTATAGAGTCACTGTGGGTCAGAATCAATTTGATGGCCATTCTTTTTTTGCAGGTAAGGCCAGCAGAAGAATGGCCAGACTAATCCCAATCCAGACTGCAGAACTGTGAGCAAATAAAATGGCTGTTGTTTTAAGCCATATGTTTTGGGGTGGTTTATTACACAATAGATAATGAAAACATCTTCTCAGCTCTTCTTGGGAGACTACTGGTACATTCAGTTCTGCATGAAGCTGAAGATCTCCATTCTTTACTCCGCATTACCTTTCAATTTTATGGCAATAGTTTGCCAGAAGCTTTCCCATTAATTACTAGGAGGCAAGCTTTTTTTTTTAATGGAAAGAAGTACTAGGTAGAGGTCCAGAGGCTCAGACATGAGCCCTAGCTTTGCTATTAGCTCTATGCCTTTTGAAAGTTTTTACTCTTTCTTTCTGAATTGTAAGTTGGAGAGACTAATGCTCACTCTACTTATTAGAGGATAAAAACGATTATAACCGAGTTGTAAAGAAAAATGAAATGCATTAACAGAGCTTCCAGCTCAAGAAGCAGGTGATGAAATAGAAAGAACTTGGACCCGATGTCATCTCGCTGTAAGGTCTTGAACAAATTACTTAATATCTCTGATTCTCAGTTCTTCTAAATGAGACTACTCTTCCCTGTCTCACAGAGTTATCTGTGGTGATCAAATGAGACAGCGCACTAAGAAAGACCTGTTGCTATATTCGCGCTAACTGCCCGCCACCAAACCCAAAAGTCTCCCTCCTTCATCCTCAGATTCCCCGCCCAACTCCTAGAAAGTGTGATAGAACAAGTCTGAAGTGAGGCCCAGAAACCTACTTTTTAAAAAAAAACAAGTTCCCTAGAGGATTCTAATGCACGTGTCCCTCACACCCTTGAAGAAACAAGGAAAAGCATTCCGCTTGCTACCACACACCCGGTTCTTCTGTCAGAAGGAGCCGCAAACTCCAGGTCTCGCGACAGTTTCTTATTTCTTCAGGCTCGGCCTACAGGTAGCGCGAGAGTAACTCGTCCAATCACGAAGCTAGATGGCTGCACAAGATGGCGGCGCGCTGGGAGCGTAACATCTGCGTTTCTAGGAGCTTCGCGCTGCGGGTGGTTTGAGACTGTGGAGTTGTAGCAGTCCACGCCACACAGTTGGTTTGGCAGGAACTTCAGCCTCGGAGGTGGGTCACTTAACATCTCTCACGCAGGTTGCGATTTCACTTAACCCATGGATCACCCGGGTTCCTCATTCTCTGGTTCTGGGCCCGGGAGGTGTGGACTCTGGGGTCTAAGGAGGGAGACCTCACGGGGGTGTGTGCGTACGCTTGGGAATGGGTAGGTGAATGGGAGGAGTTGGCGAATAGAATAGAGACTAGGATTGAAGTGGGAAAGAACCCTGCGGTTGAGGAGGGGGAAGAAGTACACCCTGAATGCTCCTTAGAAGCGAGGATAGAGAGATTTCGTCTCTCTCACTTTGGATATGTTCTCCAGTCCCTGGAGAAGGACATCATGCTTGGTAAAGTAGAGGCTGGTTAGCGAAAAAGAGGAAGATCCTCAACGAGATGGATTGACACAGTGGCTGCAACAGTGAGCTCAAACGTGCAACGATTGTGAGCATGGCGCAATACCGGGCAGTGTTTCGTTCTGTTGTACATGGGGGCGTCGCTATGAATCGGAGCTGACTCGAGGGCACCGAACAACAATAGCAACATCAAGAGAGTTCCGAAAGTGAGTTGGGAAGACAAACTGAGTGGGTAAGATAAGCGTGTGGAAGGAATGGAAGCAGTGGCTGGATTAGTGAAAAAAGGATTTATGACGGAAGACGAGGAGAGAGATGAGGGGAGCGATCGGTGCAGAAGGAATTTTATTTTACAGGAGTAAATTATGTGTTAAGAGAAGTGGTAATTGAAGAGGGTCAAGTGTCAGGAGGCACCGAGGAAAACGAAGCATGGATATGAGAAAGATGAAAGAGAGTGGAAGCGTCAGACTCAAACTGCACTACTCTGGCTTTCTGGACTCAGATAACCCGGAAGAAAATACTGCAGCCCAAGAGCTGGGACTCAGTATGGATACTACCTACCCAGAATGAGAGTGCTGTTTTTCAGTGGTCTGAACAGTGAAATGCGTTCCATCCTTGTTTCAGTCAACAAATATTTATTGAGTGCCTGCTCTGCCAGGCCCTGTTTTAGGCCCTGGGAAATGGTAGTGAACAAGACAGGCAAAAATCTTTTCCCTCATTAAGCTTACTGGCAGGGCAGATAAAAAGTAAGTAAAATACACAGAGCTGTAAGTTCTGTGTAGAAGACTAAAGCTGGGAAGGGAGACAAGGATGTGTGCATGTGTGTTACTCTGGAAAGGCAAGGGTGTATGTGTGCATGTGTGTGACTCTGGAAAGGCAAGGGAGTGTGTGTGTGTGTGTTAGCTGGGAAGGGAAGCGAGGGTGTCTGTGTATGTGACTCTGGAAAGGCAAGGGGGTGTGTGTGTGTGTTACTCTGTAAAGGCCTCAAGCTGGGAAAGGGAGACAAGGGTGTGTGTGTGTGTGTGTGTGTGTGTGTGTGAGCGAGTGTGAGTTACTCTGGAATGGCAAGGGTGTGTGTGTGTGTGTGTGTGTGTGTGTGTGTGTGTGTGTGTGTTAGTTAGTTACTCCGGAAAGGCCTCACTGAGAAGGTGTTATTTGATAGAGAAACAGCAAGGATGCCAGTGTGGCCGGAGCAGAATGAACCAGGAAGGGAAAAGTAAGAGATTCAGTTAGAGAGGGGGGTAATGACAATGCTGATGCCAGATATGAGGAAAGGAATGTATGTAGTGTGATGGTTAAGATTGTATGTCAACTTGGCTACACCACTATTCTCAGTGTTTTAGCAGTTGTATAATGTTGTAATCACCCCCATGATGGAATCTGCCGAGTGGTACTGGCAGAGGTGGGGCCTGTGGCAGCTCACCGCCCCCTCAGTTTCATCTCTCTGCCTTCTGCTGGTTACTTTCTGCGTGCTCGCCTTCCCAGACTCAGCAGCTGCCTCTTGTTGTCTCCTTGGGACTTGAGCTAGCAGCTTACCTGTTGATCTTGGAATTCATTGAACTTCTCAGCCTGCGAGCAAGAGTCCTGTTCCCTGACCTGCTGATCTTGAGTTCGCCGGCCCCTGCAGCTGCGTGAATCAGGAGAAACCTTGTGGTCTTATCTGCTGGTCTTGGAATTCATTGACCTTCACAGGCTGTGAAGGCCTGTGAGCAGGAGCCTCTCTCCGACCTGCCGACCTTGGGTTCACCAGCTTCTGTGGCTCCGTGAATTGGGAGAGGCCTCCACCGTGATCCACGGACTTGGGACGTTTTAGCCTCTACAATTGCGTGAGCTATTCCCTTGATACAAATCTCTCTCTATATATATTTATATACTTCACTGGTTTTGCTTCTCTAGAGAACCCAGCCGAACACATTTGGTAAGGATGAGTTTTCTAAATTGGTTCTCAAGTCTGGTTAGTCTTAAAAATGTTGATGACTCTGCTTCCAGCAGTAAAGAGGGCACTGCTAGTCCATGGAGTGAGGTGGTGATACAAATACACAAAATATTACCACCAGTAGATTAGGTATTGGTGAAAGGCGAGCCTCTAGGTGAACACGTGTGATATCTATCTACAGCTTTGTCAGAATGAGAAGTATAGGGAAGGTGGTTGGTTGGTCCTACTTTTGCTAGACAAACTGGTGAAAGAAAGAGATGTACTCAAGGCTTCAGAGTCAAGACTCAAGTGCCACATAAATGACCTCAAGGCTTCCACTTGTGTTTTGAAGGAAAGCTATATTTCTTATAGTAACAGAGCTGAAATTGCCGAAAACCAAACCTGGACTCTTAATGTAAGAGTGGCTGAATTACAATGCCAGCTCAATTGCCAACCTCTAGAGGTGTCTGAAATTAAAGTAAGAGCTTTGATTGGGAAGAAATGGGATCCTGAAACTTGGGATGGGGATCTCATACCACCAAGAAAGCAGTGCCAGGAGCAGAGCATGTCCTTTGGACTTGGGGGTCCCTGCGCAGAGAGGCTCCTAGTCCAGGGAAACATTGATTAGAAGGCCACCAGAGAGAGAAAGCCTTTCCCTGGAGCTGATGCCCTGAATTTGGACTTTTAGCCTCCTTTACTGTGAAGAAATAAATTTCTCTTTGTTAAAGCCATCCGTTTGTGGTATTTCTGTTGTAGCAGCACTAGATGCCTAAGACATGTGAAGAACCCATTACCTGTATTAGGAACTCAGTTAGTGAAGAGATTAGATAAACTGAATTTGCCTTATCTATAATTTAATTTATTTCACATACGTTCGGAGTCTCAGATTGCTATTATAGTAATCTAAGAGATGACAGTGATTTGGATTAGAGAAGTGGACTTGTGAATGGTGAAGAGTGGACAGGGTCAAGAAAAAATTAGGAGATACAGAATATGCAGGACATGGTATTGTGTTTGGAATGGGGGTGGGGTGGGGAGGAGAGGATGCTAAAGATTTGTGGCTTGTTCACCTAGAAAGATGGCGGGGCCATTCAGTTAGATGGGGTGATTAGAAGAAGACTAACCAAAAGGTGGGCAGTCTGAATCTACCAGGCGCTCCTTGGAAACCATCTGGGGCAGTTCTACTCTGTCCTGTAGGGTCGCTATGAGTTGGAATCGACTCAGCGGCAACGGATTTGGTTTTTAGGTTATCACATATTCCGTTCTTGCAAGGCCACTGTAAAAACTAACCTCAGACTATAATCTTGGCTGTAGATTATGCTGCATTCTGCCACTTTTATGCTCTTAAAGGAGTAGTTTTTAATTTTTCTTCCCTTGGTTTAAGAAATAATGATTCATTATATGTTGTGTACGTTTTAAAAATGTAATTTCTACTTTCTCACTTGATTGGCAAAGACTTGTTGGCTATAACTGTTGACATCTACAACTTTTCCTCATTAATATTTTTTTAACTAAATGTGCTGATTTTTTTTCCTTTCTTTTTTATTAAGGATGGCTCTCAGTAAATCAATGCATGCAAGAAATAGATACAAGGACAAACCTCCTGACTTTGCATATCTGGCATCCAAATATCCAGATTTTAAGCAGCATGTTCAGATAAACCTGCATGGAAGAGTAAGGTAGGTAACAGATGAAGAATTCTTGATCTGTATCATTCTAGTATAATCTGAATGGACACAGTATAGTGGACAGTGTGCTGGACTGATAGTAGACCTGAATGTTAGTTGTAGACATTTCATTAAACACCCTATCTGGCCTTGGACAAATCACTTAGCTTCTCCGGGTCTCAGCTTTTTAATCTATAAAATGATGGGATCGGACCAAATGCTTTTAAATTTCCTTCTGGCTTTAAAAAAATCTCTTGATGTCCAAATTGTTGCTTACCTGCCAGAGATCCTCTAGTAACTGTACAGACCTTAGGATTGTGCTCTGTATTCTCTAAAAGTTAGTGATGGGTGAGGGTCTAAAGTTGTTATTTTAGTAAATGTGTGTTTATTTTGATATGAGGTAGGGAAATAATAACCAGGACATCAAAACTGTGATTTCACAGATGATATTATGTAAGTTGTGACTAAATTTAAGTTTAAAAAGTTGACTTTTAAAACTTAAGAAAATGGTAGTACAGCTGCTTCAGGAAATGGCAAAAATTATAATGGTATGGGAATGACTATAGTGTGTGTTAAACTCATGAGAAGGAACCATCTCTGACTGCATTCTTAAACTCTATGGGAGTTAGAGAGGAGAATGGAAATTCCGAGGCTGCCTAGGGAGAGGTGGGTGATTCACCTATGGGGAGGAGGAGCACAGATTAAAGAGAAGGAAGGTAAGGAGTAGGATCGCAGGGCTTGAGGTATTTTGCCAACTGCTTTTTTTTCTTCCTCCTAGCATCTCTTATGGCTTTAGGAATGGAAGTCCAAGGGCAGGACTTCTTTTTCTTTTTGTTAATTATTTTCTTTTTGTTGTTGTTGAAAAGCAGAACATACACCAATTCAACAGTTTCTACATGTACAATTCAGTGACACTGATCACATTCTTCAGGTTGTGCAGCCATTCTCACCCTCCTTTTCCTAATTGTTCCTCCTCCATTAACATAAACTCACTGCCCCTTAAGCTTTCTGTTTAACCTTTCTAGTTGCTGTTGTCAGTTTGATCCCATATGGATAGTTCCTAAAAGAGCACAATGCTCAAGGCAGACATTCTTTATTAATTAAGCTAAACTATTGTTTGGTTTAAAGAAGCCCTCGGGATATTTTTGGTTTAAAGTTTAAAGATTATCTCAGGGCATTAGTTTCAGAAGTTTGTCCAACCTCCATGACTCCAGAAAGTCGAATTCCGTGAGAAGTTGAAATTCTGTTCTGCATTTTCCCCATTTTGATCAGGATTATTCTATAGAATCTTTGATCAAAATGTTCAGTAATGGTAGCTGGGCACCATCCATTTCTTCTGATCTTGTACCAAAGGAGACAGTTGTTCAAGGAGGCAATTAGCCACATATTTCATTTCCTCCTTCTATTCCTGACTCTCCTTCTTCTTTTGCTCTAGGTGAATAGAGACCAATTGTTGTACCGTGGATGGCCAAGGGCAGGACTTCTTAACCTGGAGTCCAAGACACTCTTGAAACCATATACAGAAGTTTTAATACATATATATTTATGTTTATTTTTCTGGGAGATCTTTCTTTGCTTTCATTCCATTCTCAAAGGGATCTGTAACCCACTCCTCTACCACCCAGTATGCAAAGATTAAGACCAAGTGCCCTAGAACTGTGGTTTCCAAGTTTTTTTGATTGTCTCCTCCACTCAGTAAAAAAAGTTGAGCCCAGCCTCATATGCGTATACTACTTACTACAGTACTTTATTAAGTGCATTAGAAAAATACATCAAAATAGAAATTAAAAATTTATTTAAAAAGGAGTTTTAATATTTTCTTTGTTTACCCTAAAGAGTGATCTTTGGCACCTTACTTTGGAGATCACCTCAAAGAGATTAAATTGATCTTTCTCTTTGTTTATAACATTTCTATCATTATTTTTAAATCTTTGTTACCAGTTATGTATGTGGATGTTCATTTATCCTAGTAGCTTTTGGGTAGACACAGTTTTCTTTTTCTTTGTTTCCTCTGCTATACCTAACATTGTACTTAACTGTTTAACAAATATCTGTTGAGCAACCGCTTTATACTAGGTTCTAGGAAGCCTTAATAAACAAGAAAGACACAGTCCTTGCCATATTTGGAGCTTACACACTAGTGGGAGAAGTAGATAAATAAACAAGCAGTTAACCATTCAGTGTGATAAAATCTGTGGGATGTGCAGTGGGATCCCATGGAAAGGAGACCTGATCCCAACTTTGGGATTTTGAGGATGATTTGAAACAGAAATGGTGTCTTGGTTATGTTCTGAAGAATGAATAGGCGTTGTTGTTGTTGTGTGCTGTCAAGTCAATTCCAAGTCATAACGCACTGTCGTCGGGTCGATTCCAACTCATACTGACCCTATAGGACAGAGTAGAACTGTCCCGTAGGGTTTCCAAGGCTGTTATCTTTACAGAAGCAGACTGCTAACGTCTTTCTCCTGTGGAGCGGTTGGTGGGTTAGAACTGCCAACCTTTTGGTTAATAGCTGAATGCTTAACCACTGTGCCACCAAGGCTCATTCAGACCCATAGCAACCCTATATGACAAAATAGAGCTGCCCTCATAGGATTCCTTACTCTATAATCTTTATGGGAGCATGTCTTAGGCTGTGTTCTCTAGAGAGGTAAAACCAATAAAATGTGTGTGTGTGTGCGTGTGTGTGTGTATACATATACGTATGTATACATATATGTACACACACACACACGCACATACACACAGAGGGAGAGATTTATCTCAAGAAAATGGCTCATGTGGTTGTAGAGGCTGGCAAATACCAAGTCTGTGGGTCAGGCATCAGGCTAGAGGCTTCTCCTGACTCATGTAGCTGCAAGGGCTGACGAACCCAAGATTGGCAGGTCATACAGCAGTCCTCTGGCTCATGGGCTGCTGAGGCTGATGAATCCAAGATTGGCAGGAAAGATGGCAGGCTGCTGGCTCACAGGCCCTGGAGGCCAACAAATCCCAAGATCGGCAGGCAGTCCACAGGCTGCTGGCTCGAGTTCCAAGAACCAGAGGTCAGATGATGACAAGCCAGATGCAGGATCCAGAGCAAGCAAAGAAGCTTTGCCAGAACGTCCATATATATTTTGGATGCAGGCCACACCCCTGAGGAAACTCCCCTTACGACTCATTGGCTGATCACATGAGATTGCGTTGTGAAGGATGACAACATCATTACATAACTCTCAAATTGCAGAATAACATAATTGCCAGACTACATTACATAACCACCAAACTATGTCATTACATAACTGTCAAACCACTGAGAATCATGGCCCAGCCAAGTTGACACACAACCTTAACCATCACAGAGCAGATCACCAGGTCTTTTCTCCTGCAGAGTAGCAGGTGGGTTGGAACCAGTGACCTTTCAGTTAACAGCCAAGCATTCAACCATTGCGCCACGAGGGCTTCTTGAATAGGAGGCATTAGGTAGGTAGAAAAAAAGAGTACTCTGGGCAGTGGGAGGAATATGTGCAAAGAATGATGAGTAGTAGGGAAACTGAAAAAGTTGAACATGTCTAGGGTGTGGTGGACAAGTAACAGGCTACTGAGGAGGAGGAGGCTGAAGAGAATTATGCTTGCAGTACTTTATAAGGCCTGTTAAAGAGTTTGGAATTTATCTTAAGGACATGGTGAGGAGGGTTCTTGTGTCTTCAGAAGATGGCTGCTCAGCACCATCCTTATTCGTTAAAGTTTGAAGTAGGGGAATAACGTGTTTAGAATTATGTTTTAGACCGACCTGTTCTAGGAGCAGCATGGAGAATGTCTTACAGGGGGAATTAAGACTGGAGTTCTAATGGCCTAACTAGATGGAAGCAGAAGGATAGATGACATTAGATGAATTTGAGGAAAATTCATGAGTAGAATTCGCAGGTCAGGGTAGAAGTTAAGGAGAATGGAAGAGCCAAGTATGATGCTTGGATTCCAACTTAGGCAAGAGGGTAGATGGTAGTGCCATTTGTTGAAGTAGGGAACAAGGGGGAGTAAGGAGGCCTAGTTTGGGGGAGATGATGTTTTTAGCAGGACGTACTGAATTTGAGGAGTCTGTGGGATATCCAAAGGAGCCCTGGTGGTGCAATGGCTAAGTGCTCAGCTACTAACTGAAGGGTTGAGGGTTTGAACCCACCAGCGACTCCATGGGAGAAGCAAACAAACAAACAAAAAACCAAACCCATTTTCATCGAGTCAATTCCAATTCATAGCGACCCTGTAGAACAGAGTAGAACTGCCCCGTAGGGTTTCCAAGGAGTGCCTGGTGGATTCGAACTCCAGACCTTTTGGTTAGCAGCCATAGCTCAGAGACCTGGCAATCTGCTCCCACAAAGATCACAGCCTAGCAAACTCTTTGGGGCAGTTCTGCTCTTTGTCCTATAGGGTCGTTATGAGTTGGGAATTGACTCAACGGCACACAACAACAACAACGGATATCCAAGTGGAGGTATTTAGTAGACATATGAAAATACAGGAGGGACACACAGCAGTGATGGATGGTGGTAGTGAAGGCCCTAGGTCTTTGATCTGAATCCTGAAGGATGAATAGGAGCGGGGAAAGAATTCAAGTGTAGAGAAAAGAATATTGTAAATTGCATGTTGAGTTTGGAGAACTGCACATAGGTGGGGCCAAAGTGGATATAGGATAGTAAGTTGGGGAAGAGCAGAAGATGAGATTGAAAGGAATCAGAAAGAGCCTTTCATAGCATGCAAATTAGAATGGACTTGATTCCTCAGACACTGAGAAACCAGAGAAGGATCTAAGATGGTTAGTGACTTGATCGAATTTATCATAAAAAAAGAAAAAAAATCACTGTGAGAGTACACCAAACAAATCTGTTATCACAACACATCTAAATGGATTAAAGGTGCCTGACAGGTAATAGACCTTCAACAAATATTTGTTGAATGGATGAGAATAATTCTCTTTAAAATCTAACTATATGCTATTTACCTGAAACAAAATGCCAGAGAAATTAAAAATAAAG